CGCGATCGGTTCAGCCGTTATTGAGATCCGATAATCTCGATCCAGCGCAACTCGTCAGTTGGCGTAAAGGAGGCACGGCAGTGTCGCTGCGCTTGGCTTAGCGCCGAGACATTACCGTGTCTCCAGATTTTTTACTCTACTGCCCGTATCGCCCAGCTGATTTGTTGCTGTTTCCGCTGCTTAATGCTTGACGCATGCATGTTAATGCACCTTTAATCGGGTTTAACAACGACATATTATACCTAGACCGAGCATTCGATATCTGGCATGAAGCTAACTAGTTGACAGAGAAACTGTGCGACAAAGAGCTATCATTTGAGCGACAAAGAGCTATCATAGAGGAAAAGAGAGGAACATTGTGTATGTTCCCCTCTTTTCCTCTAAAGCAACAGTGTCAACTCCTGATGACATCTCGACCATAACGCATATAATATTCTAAATAATTTTGTTTTGATCTCTTCAATAGTTTTAAATATGGACTGCTTTTTATGAATATAACCAGATTCTCACTGGACAATATATTTTGACTAAATTTCTGATTATGTATGTAAGATGTTTTGTTATTGTACATTGAAAATGACCCAATCGGTGTCGAAACGTTTGATGATTATTGTATATATATACGTTTATTAAAGATCTTATATTGTAGTTGGCTCGTTTGCCCTTGTTTTATTTATTGATTTATTCTAATTGAGCCATATTAACATTTAATTATTCTAAATAATGTCTTCAATATAAAATATATATCTATATTTTATAAATATTTTTGTGGTTATTATGAAGTGTAAGAATAGATCTTAATCAATTGTTAAATAGTTTATACGAAAGGTGTCTTTGTTTAATATACAGGATAAACAAGGATGTCTATTGTATAGGTCGCGGCCTAAATGCACGGTGTAAACGTAGCCATTGTTAGTTCTTCAATACACACAAGACGCCAAGTACCGCGAGTGCAACAAACGAAATGAGGCGCGTAACGACATTCCAATCTCGTATTACTACGCAATACCGCGTTCAGCTTCATTTCTAAAGGTACTATAAACTTTCTATGTATCTTCTATGTATCTAAATATAATAGATACATTTTTTTTTAAATTTCTACGAGAAAGAGACAGAAATAAATCTACATTTTTAGATCTTGATTGCGATATTTAATATTAAAACCGCGTATAATTTTATTCCTCTCCCTCCCTCTCTCTCTCTCTCGATAAAGTTATTATTTACTGTTATAAATGTTTATTAAAAGTTATTTATTCTTGTATCTTATAAAATACTAATACGGTAAAGAATGGACTTATAAGTACAAAGCTGAAGCCTACTACTGTCAAGAGTTTAGAAAAGCGTAACAACAACAACCTGTTGAATCTCATCGTGTTTCGAATGTCATGCTAAAAGAAGAAGAGAGACAAGGAGTTCAACTACAATGCTGGTATAGTTTTACTCACGATTATTATATAGATTCCATCAAGTTTCCAATTTCGCTTTATTTACAGCGAATTTCATTAGTGTTATGTAAACAATTAGTGTTGATTTTTAAACTGACTTTGAAACTCTGATTATATTATTCAAGCTCTGTGACATTAGATTCTTCTTGATTGGAGATTTCTCTTATCCATTTGAAATTCAACATTTTCAGATCACATTTAAACTGAATGATATCAAGAAATTAAAATTAAGTTTCATATGTAATCGGATTATTTTTTTTATTTGAATTTTAGAATTTCGAAACTAAAATCGAATTCGGCGATCCCGAAAACCTTTAGAAAACAAGATCTTCTTTAACTTTTTCTGTTAGAAAATTCCGGTCCTCAAAGAGTTAAGTGTCTTAAGTATTCTAAAAATATTTTGACATAACACGACGATGCGTTCGGAAATGATCGATGTCGTCTCGGCGCAATTAACCATCGCCGAGAAGATGGCACATTCATTCACGACGATACGACACCGTTGACTAGAGCATCATTAAACAAATCGCCTTCACCGAGCGCGCGATGTTTGCATACGCAACTAGACAAATCGCCGGTCGAACGGAATGAAACATGGCGGTGAAGAGACGAGACGGCAGCTACCGCGCCGAGTGATCCCCCAACGATAACGAATGAATCGATTTGCGTGGCTCGTTAACAATACACGCATAAGAAACGCTAATGCGCCACTTTGTTTCAGACCTCGACCTCGCCGCAGCAAACTTGTACCCGAAAAGAATAAAAAGATGAACGGGTCGTGTATCGTTGGGTCCCGGTGTCTACCTCACGGTCGAGAACTCTCCCCTTGGCATAACTATATCCTCGTCGAGCATACCGCGACAAGGACGATCGTCTTGGCTGCATGGCGAGATCGCAAAGTTAGTCGATTAAACTGATCTTATAATGACTTACCATTTCCAACGCACTAGCAGTTGTGGCTTGTGGCTCGTCGTTTACACATTCTTCTTCTTCTTCTATTTGATCGGCCCGGGTCCTCAATAGCGAGGTACATTTTTCCTGGTCGACAACAGTAATAATTCTTTCTTCTTCTATTTGATTGGCCCGGGTCCTCAGTAGCGAGATAGGCTTGGCCAGTCGCGTAATGAATTACAGTCTTAATGTATTACGGTATCAAAAAGGGTGACGCATGCCCGCGAAAATGGCGTTGCCCAAACGGACACCGGGCGTCTGCTTCTACAACGTCGTTACGTCGAAGTAACGCGCGTCCGGACGAACGCACGAGACGAGCCAATTCGCGGACACGCATCAGGAGGAAGCGATAGCACAGTCAAAGTCGGTCACTTTCAAAAATATTTGTTTGTCAGCACCCGATCCGAAACGCGTCCGCCGCGGTCGAGTGGTTCTTCAGAACTCCCTAATAGTAATAATAAGAACGACGTATCTGAAATGTGAACTGATCTGAAATGTGAAAAGTGACAGATCCGGACTTTGCGTCGCAATATCTCCGCTTGTAGAGCACGTAGGAAAAAAATGAAAGCACTTTTATTATACAATCTAAGCGATGGCTATCGATTGAGCGTATATAGAACTTGATCCGTTCAGCCGTTATTGAGATTCGATAATCTCAATCTGCCACAACTCGCCGGCTCGCGTAAAGGAGGCACGGCAGTGTCGCTGCGCTTGGCTTAGCGCCGAGACACTACCGTGTCTCCAGATCACAGTTTTAAATAAAAATCGAATATTATATACATAGAAAACTACGAACTGAAAAAATGGAAAATTTTCTTCTTGCTTTGTGGGTCATGTGCCAAAAAAAATTTTTTTTAATTTTCGACTATCTGATGTAAAAGCTTGAAGTTTTGTCTTCAAAATCGTCTACGAAATTTCTACGAATCGTTTCTTAAAAATGTAATTCCTTATACGATTTTTTGTTATTATCTTATTACTCGCGAGTTAAGTAAAAGAACATTCTGACTTTTGATTGCTCATAACCGTTGAAAATTATTGTACCGCAATTGAAAAACAGATTATAAATTATTAAAGCTGAAACTTTACTTATATTGTATATTTGGTATATTGCCAATATAATTGCACAACAAATATATTCTACATAATTTTGAGCTAAAAAAACGACAAGAACTTAACCTTTCCAATTCAATATAAATAATTGAATAAAAATTATATATAAAATTATATACATATATAAATAAATTCAATAAAAATTCGTTTAATTAAAAACAAATATGATTACTTATTAATTAATTAAAATGTGTATATATATATATATTTATTAAATTATTATACATATATGTGTATATGATCATTAATAATTTTTTTCTTTCTTTTCTTCTTTCTTCTTGATAAAACAATTAGATCTATGCGTTTTAATTTAATTTTTTACTTATATGAAATATTATGCACATCCTTAAAATGTGCAATACTTTGCACGTGTATTTTTGTACAATTATATGTCAAAAAATATTTACCACAGTAAAACATTTAACATTTAAATGTATAACGTATTATATAAAAAAATATTATCGGTTTACAAAGCAACGATCTAGTAACCCAATGTTTATTAAATCATAACATTAATCAGCAGGTTCAAGTTTCTTGCTTAATGTGGGTAGTAGCTTCTTTAGCTTGGCGACATCGTGACTGAAGCCCCACATGATACATCGGGTGTGTTCTACGGTAGGCAAACCTCGGAATTCGACGTCTGTGTCAAACCATAGAACATGTTTTTCCTTTATGAAATTCACCAGCTCCCGAAGATGTTCGTTTCTCTTCACATCCCATGTAACGTACGATTCCGGAAATTGGACAGACCTGAGTTTTTTGTAGTCGCCGTTCACCTCCTCGTAAACTCTGTAAAATTAAACAATGAGAATGTCTCGTCAATAAAATTTAATCTTATCCAATTTTTTATTTCTTCTCAAATATTTTTTTATCACTAACTCACTTGAGGAAGCCATTATCTTCGATGTTGTATCGCTCAGCTAGAGATTTAAAAGCCCGCACAATATCGATCGTTAGATAATTGAAGTTCTCCTTCGATCGGCCTTTCACATTATAATCGGTGAGCCAGTTCTCAAAGATCTCAATAGCTTCCTGCATATTTTTGATCTTCTGCTCATCCTTTGTGCACGATATTACTCTCTCAGCTCGCTTCACCAATCCGCTGATCGCGTGAAACTGATAAGATACATCTCTGCCTTCCAAGGATTTGATGCTTTGCAAGGCTTTGTCCTTGTCCTTAAAACTCAGCATGTTTTCCTTCTTTTCGTTCTGTTCGTTCTCTTCAGTTTCTGACGAACGCTTTGCGCATTTTTTCTTCGGCTCGCTGTCGCTATCGCTGCTCGATGAATTATCGCGAGCTCGTTTAGCGCCTTTGCCTGAATTTTTTTTCATAATTTTTCATATAATTTTTCAAAATATAATATTAAAATAATTTTATTACTTTATAAAAATTTTCAAATCTTTTATCCAGATTGAAGCACTTTTTAGAAATGCTAAGAGAGCCTACATTTGTTTTTAGATTTCTTCACACCCGTGAATTGTAAAATATTCTAAGATGTTTGAGATTTCTCAATCTATAATATAATTTTCGATATCTTATAAAATCTGAAAAAGTTTAAGATATTTTTTGAGAAATTATAGAATGAGAAATCTCAGAAATCTCAGAAATTTAAGAAATCTCAGAATATTTCAGAATTCACATAAATAAAAAATTCTTTACCAGGCTTTCGTTCTTCCTCCACGTCCATGTCATCATCTTCTTCATTGAATTTTTCGCGCGCTTGAACTGCCAGTTTTTTCAGTTTCGTAGGATCAGGACTGTATCCGAGCACGATGCATCGCACATGCTCCTTCGTCGGTAATCCGCGAAAATCGCCTACGTCCGTCTCATACCATTGGACGTGCTCATTCTTGATCCTGTTAATGATCTCCTTTAAACGCCTGTTTCTCTCGATGTCCCATGTGGTGCCTCCGTTAGGAACTTTCATGTCGCGTAGGCTTTTGTAGTCACCCTTCTCGTTCATATATGCCCTAATAGAGAAAATTGATATCAGCTTATTAAAAAGTACTTCGAGTCTTTGCGATAGTTCTTTGTCAGGTAGAACACATACAGAGAGTCAAGATGTACGAGGGTTATCCAGAAAGTAAGTTCGGATGGCCTATTAAAAAAGAACAAGTATATTACAGAAAACTTTTATTAACTTATTATACTTTCTGGATAATTCTTGTACAATAAACCTCCAAGACATGTCCTAAAGAAGTACAGAAAAAACATTTCTGTATCTCTCTCCTAAGAATTTTCCTAGAACGTTTCTCAAATAAAATTCTGTATGAGAACAATACCATAGAACTTCATTTGCAGGGTTGGGTAAAATGCCTTTCGAATTCTATTTAAAATACTAATTGTAAAATACTTTTAGAAAATGTATTTAAAATGCAAAATGCAAAATAGGTTTTTCGAAACCATTTTAAATATAAAATGGATAAATAGGTATTTTAAATAGTTTTCGAATGTAAAAAAATGGTTTTTCCTGCTATAATATGTATATTTCGGAAAAAAATTTTTACAAAAAAGTACAAAAAAACTATATAGATTAAAATAAGATTTTAGAAATTCTTAATTTTTCATAGATATATATATATTCATAGTGAGACATAGAGTGAGATTTGTTTGTCTCAGAAATCCATAGTTTTTCATAGATATTCGTATATAAGACGTGAAGTGGCATTGTTCGTGAGCGGAGGAGGTTTTTCAAACAAATAACACTACGTCCCATTACAAATATATCTACGAAAAACTAAGAATTTCTAAAACCTTGTTTCAATCTATGTAGTTTTTCGTAAAAACTTTCCGCCAAGATGATATAAATTTTATAAAAGTATTTTACATTTGAAATCCATTTTCAACGGAATTCGAAGCCCTGACTACAATAATATAAATTAAATAAAGTATTTCTGACGGGAATATTTTAAATTTTTTAATATTATGATTTGGAAACGGGACCGTTTACTTGAATAAATCAAATTAATATGAAAAGCGCCGGTTATGGTCAAAATTAGATGTTAAGAGTAATATACATTTATAGAAATGTATATAGTATTTTACATAATGCTGGAACACTCATTTTTTATTAAGAGTAAATATTTATGGACTATCTAGAATTAATTTTCTCTTTACAGTTTAATTTGCAGTTTATTTGAATATTCATAAAAATCTTTGGCCAATCGTGAAACTTATAATAGTTCTTCTTATACATCAATGATTTTAGGGAAAATTTGTGAAAACATAGAAAAACTATTTACCTATTTTATGAATGGTTAAATGATAGATAAGATTCCATTTCAAACGTAAAATGAAAATAGTTTTCCAAAAACCATTTAAAATGGAAAATGCAAAATGCCATTTCTATTTTAAATACATATTTAAAATGGAACTATTTTAAATATTACGCAGCCCTGTTCATTTGTTATTTATAAGTAAATTTAGAAGGTGAAAAATAAAGTCATGATGACATTCTTATAATTATTATGACTTCTGTGTTCTATCTGGGTTTTCACCTGAAGAATCCGTCGTCCCACACGTCGTACTTTTTCGCGAGACTGCGAAAGGCCTTGATCGTCTCGATCGGCAGATATGCAAGATTCTCTTTTCCTCGGTTATTCTCCTTGTAATCCGTCAGCCAATCCTCGAAGACCTTCAGAGCGTCACGCAGATTCGCTAGTTTCTCTTCGTCCCGTGTAATCTGGAGAGTTCTTTTCGCGCGACTGACGAAACTCGTGATTACATGATATTGATAACTGATATCACGACCATCCAAAATTTTTAGGGTATCCAACGCTTTCTGCTTGTCCTTGAAACCCATGCCTCCTTCCTCCTGTTTTGAGGATTTTGTCTTTACCATTTTGATCTGTGCAAAAAGAATTTTTTATGCATTAGTAATCACATAGCATCTAAAAAAAATATGATATATTTACTTGAACTTTTTTTTCATTTACTTTATTCCACTCCGGTATAACCGAGTGTGAAGTATATAGTGCGTTCAGGAAGATTAACTTATTAACACTATTTCTGTCATTCTCTATCTTCATTGTTTATTAGACGTAAAACAAGGATAGAATGACGCTAATAGCGCTAATAGCGTCTTTCTAGTTAATCTTTCCGAACTCCTATAAACTACATTATATAATTTTTCAAACTCACCCTCGTAGCACCCTTCTAACGAGAAAGTTTAAGAAGTTGAGGAATAGCGTATTTACACTACTTTATATGACTCTTATTTCGTTACGTTATCTTTGGGGCCAATTTTATTATATTTATTCCGGTTAATTCTTTCAATTATTATATTTATTCCGCTCAATTCTTGATAAATCATTTATTAATTCTTTCAGTTTTCAATTCCCGATATCGAATGATAAATATCGTATGAAAAAAAATGTAGAAAATGCGAGAAGATGAATTATTCATCAGTGACATGAATATTAATTGATTTTGGAGTAACGCGATTGTGCGCGTTTACTGCTAATTATTTCATCGCTTCCGATTATCATCGCTAGGAACTCAATAAAGACGTGGAAATGATGAATTACGCGTTAGCGGTATTTGACATCGCTCAAACTTAGTTTAGGGAAACTGGCGATGTGCATGGAGCAATCGATTTGGAGCGGTACGGCCAATCATCAGCAGAGGATGCGCCTGGGGGCGGAGAGACAGTCAACCAGAATGCGAAACGCGTATGTCAATTTTACCGTTGACGCAGTCCTCGGATTATGGAAGCTATGCATATAACACTGAAAGGATCAATAGCGATTGCGAGCCATGGTTCAATCGTTATATTTGGCAATCGCTGTTTGTATAAATGCTACATACTTGGAACGACGTGTGACATTCAGTATTCTATTATTAAAATTACATGAAGTAAAGTTTTTTTTAAACCGGATAATTTTGTTTTGTACTACTTTTGACAGATGCTTTATAGTGACGTTACTTTATTGTCCATTCAAAGATACACACACACACACAGGTATACATATGAAATTAGCAAAAAACCGTTATGAAGTTAATAAATTATATTAACAGAGAAATGACTAAAGTTTAAATAAAACAGCATAGATACTTATGATGGTATCTTCTTCCACCATGGAGATACTTATCAACAAAATTTGTATTTGATGGATGCTTTAGCAATATCACTTCATCGTTCATTTAAAGATATACATATAAATGAAATTAGCAAAATATACAATTGATATTATTGAAGTTAATAATAAAATACTTACGGAAAAGTTAGATGAAATAACAGAAATACTTACCAACAAAATTTCACTACTGCTAATTGCGTTAAATAATTGTAAAGTACAATCTCAAGTTACGCACAAATCAGAATTGTCACACTCGTATAGATCTCGAATATTACTTCTACTCGTGAAGTGTTCTTAGTTTTTGAATCGCAATGCTGACGGTGACTACGAACCGGCTTAAGTCACCGTTTATACTTGTCAGCAAAACTTCGTCGCGCGTTAAGGAAGGATGACCGGCGAAGTGAGCGAGGGAAAGCGAGAGGTCGATATAAACACGCTTGATTCACATGTGTCAGAGCCCGAAATACATGCGCGATTGCGCACTTACGTCACATCGAGGACACGTGAAGAGAATGATCCATCCTATGATTTAATATTTGTTAATTTTTCGGGATTACGAGCTCTTGTTTTGCAAAACGATGTAAAGTTCCACAGTTGCCGCATTCACTCCATTTACGTTTTTATTTTTTAATTTTTACTCTTAATGAAATAGATTTGGGATAATCATGTTATATATCAAAGTCGCATTATTCTAATTTATGTTTGACGAGTCATTAATTGTTGAGTTGTAAATAAAAAGTACTAGTCATGTATCATATTTTTAATAATCGTCCTATTGATAAGATTTATTTAATATTTATAAAATAAATTACAACCGCGATAAACTACTAGAACACGCACCCAGTAACGATCGGAGATAACGCATTGACGCGAATTGAAGAATTCGCACTCAGATTTATTAATCTATATCTCCAGGAAGTCTGATAAATCGGCGCGGAAAAATAAGTGCTATTTACAATACCACGTACATACGTCCATACGACTCGGAACCTTGTTCCGTTTGTATCGTCAAACATGACCGGTAGGAAATTTTCCTTCGAATAATATGCAAACAACAGATTCGATCACATTTATTTAACAGACGCAACTTCCAACGCCTAAACACGTGTACGGGGCTTGCTCGAGCTTTGAGCTTGCCGCGCCGTCCAGTATCGAGGATTGCGACGGTACGGTCGAGGCCGGTAATTGCGATCTCTGCACGTTGTCGTAGGGTATCGACGCGGGTTCCCGTTCCCTACTGGTACTCCCCGTTTCCTGAGTATACGAATCTCTCGCTGATAGTTCTTGTGCCTTCGAATCGAATGCAGCTTCATGTGACGACAATCGACTGTAGTTCAGGAAGGTCTCTGTGTAGCTCGGAGCCGAATGATGATGATGATGGTGGTGATTGCTGCCGTACTGATGGGGATAATGAGGGTGATATCTACTTGGTGGCGTTTTGAAGCCTTCGTTACCGCCGAGGTATTGATGCAAATGATGGAGACTGGAAGATCCGTACACTGTATGAAAATTCAATTAAAATATTAATTTCTTATAAATATACTTTATGCAATTAAATGCGTTTAACGGATTTTAATATATAGAGTAATTAATGTCGATGAAGTCTAATACCTGCGGCGGTATTCGAGTACATGGCGAAAACCGCGTCGCTATACCCCGCGGCGGGATGCTTCATCAAATCTGGAACTTCGTTGCCGCCCGCTCCTTTCCCGGGCACCGCATGGCTCCGTACCATACTATTTGGAACTTCTCCGCTAATCCCCGAAGACGCGCCGGTACCGTACGCCATATTGAAGAGCGCTTCCGGATCGCAGACGAACTTGTACACGTATCGCTCGCCGGCGACTTTCTGCATTATACCCTTCTCGTAGTAGTATCTCAATGAACGACTCAACTTATCGTAATTCATAGCCGGTCTGTTTTTCTGAACGCCCCATCTTCGTGCCACCTACCAATAGTAACATATTATAATAAGTATCTAATAAAAGGCATATAAAAAAAGAGTTATAATTTTTTATAATAATTTATACTTTTATTTCAAAAAAGTAACACAATTAAAACAAGTGATCTTCGAATTGTTACCATGAATGAATTAAATAAACATTTTATCAATTATCAAAAGTGAACTAACTTAACTTCATTAAAAAATTATTAAAATTATCACAACTCAAAAAGGGTAATTTTTAAGGATTATGAAACGAAAATGACAAAAATGACATTTGATCATGTTAAGAATATATCCTTTTTACTGATATTTTTAATCAGTCTATAATTTTCTGTCAAATTGAAAAACCGTTTTTTCCCTTTCGTAAAAAATTTAATTTTTAAATTGTGTCTCTTTTAAAATAAGGAAGCTATTGTGAAATTCGGAAAGTTAAATAAAACATTTTTCAAAAGCACATTTTTCTATTTTTCACATTTCATCATTTTAACATTTTTTTACGAACCTCCTCCGGCTCGATTAGTTTAAATTCCATCCCACGTCCAGTCCACGCGATGCAAGGCGCATTCGCGGGGTCATCGAGTAAGGCTACGAGGAACTGCCACAATTGCAAGGAACCACGTCGCTGTTGCTGATAACCGACAGTGACGTCGCTCCAAGCTGACACGCCGGTCGCAGACGACGGCCTCTTATTGATGTGGTCCGGGTTCCAAGTCGAAATGGGCGAGCCTTTTTTCTGATAACAGCCATTCTGCCGATCCCAAGACGAGCTCCTGGGATCTAGCTGCGTGCCCAGTTCCGTCCAAGTCGGCGTGCAGCTTCTTTTCGCATAAGCTTCGGAATTCCAGCTCTCTTGTCGTTGCAGAAAGGTCTCGGAGGAGACAGAGAAGGTCGATTGCCATTGGGAAGTCGAGGAAGAAGCGCTGGCCGGACGACTGGGTGGCGGTGACGATCCTCTGTGATCCCTTGTCACGTTCCCGTACTGTTGGCGTTGTGGATAAATTAGGTTGTTCGCTGTAAGAAGACGCAGCGTGATCCTAGAATCGGTATCGTCTGTGTAGCGATAATTTAATTTTAGATTAGCGAACGTTGGTCCTTATTGGTTCTTGAAGTTCGATATTTTTACGTCTGTGATTTTGTTTAACACGTTTTGCTCCATACAGTAATATACATTTTGTATTTGTGTACAAAATGTATATTACTTATGGAGGAAAACATGTTAAAATTTAGTCGTTGTTACAATCTTTGAATTTTTAATATATTCGAGTATTAAGTTAATATAATATGATTGTGCTATTTGAAAATTTTGTGTTAAAGTAACATAATTTATGAGTAAATAAACAATTAACATAAAAATAAAAAAATACATAATTATTTTTAAAATGTAAATTCTAAGATAAATGACAAAATTATGTTAATTTAACAAATTATAAATGTTACTTATTTATAAATATTAATTTAAGCTTCTGTTATAAGTGTTAATTTTAACAAATATGTTTTCACAGTTTGTTTGCAATGTCAGTGTCATATTTTTTTGTGTTAATTTTTTACATAATATTTGTGTTATTTTCTAATATATTTACCTTATGTTAAATTAACACAAAAATTTGACCGTTTGAGACATGTAAAATGAGTTAAAAACAAATTTTCCAACTATTTACAGTACAATTTAAAAATAACATAATCAAGTAAGATATTATAGAACAATCAAGTCCATGAAGAGTGAATTTATATTTCGTGTACAAAAATATTTCGAGTCCCGGCATTTCTGCAATCGCGCTCGTAAGACCAAGGCGTCACAACATAAGAAGACGCGAGAAAAGCATCGGATTATCCGCGAGTATTTTTTCCGCGTAGAGGGTGGAAGATAGAGAAGGTAGAGACGAGAGGAAAGAGTCGAGGAAGAAATTCTCGAGAGGACAAAAAGCGCGTTCCGTATTACCGATTGCACTCACGCACCGGGCCGGTTGAAACGCTCTCGTCACACAAATATCGGCAGGAAATTGGTGGATATTCAAAGCCCACCGGGGGCTGGAACCCGCGCGCAATGGTGCCCCCTGAAATATCGAAAGCCGAGAGCTCGCGCGATATGTATATTAATCGGGCCGCGCTCCTCTCACTCTCTCTCTCTCCCTCTCTTACTCTCGGGGGCTGCTACCACCAACCCCTGCAGACGTCGCAGTACCGAAAGAGCCATTCTCGGGCCGTAATCCGGTTACGCTTCAAGTCGCGCACGGGGAATATTGAAAAATTGAGAAGCCGCGCGCGCGATCGAGAAGAGCGCCGATAAACGTTGCTGCAGCGCCGCGACGCGCGACGCCACGATGCATCCGACGGCGAGAGCGAAGGCCATTGGAAGCGACGCCAAAAATATGAGGAAGCGATGTGACCCTTTCCGCCGAACGGATGCATCGGTAAAACTATTTTTCGAATAGAAAAATCTACCTTCTCGCGTAGATAGAAATAAGTCGCGTGAATTTAATTCGGTTTAATTCAAATCGTTTAAGGATTTCAGCACAAAGATGATCGCAACTGACGTGAGTGAAATGTGAGTCGTAGTTGTAGGTCAATGCATAATGTTTTGATCAACCTACAACTACGACTTATGTTCCACGACTAAGGGCCATGACACACAAAAAACTTAATACAACACAGAGAGAAAAATGTTTGGTATTTGTAACTATAATTATATATTATTATAATTATGATTATTACTGCTATAATAATAATAACAGTAATTATATATATAGTTCCAGCAACAAATGTATATAGTTGGCAACCTAAAATGACTAAAATGACCTAACCATAAAAAATATGGTTGTCCCAAAATATAACTATAAAATTATAGTCACTTGAATCATTTTTATGGTAATTTCAACTATTTTATGGTTATAACAACTATAATTATAGTCATTTTAGGTTGCCAACTATATACATTTATTGCTGGAATTTATATATATATAGTTACTGTTATTATTATAGCAGTAATAATCATAATTATAGTAATATATAATTATAGTTACAAATACCAAACATTTTTCTCTGTGAAGACGTAAGGAAATCAACATGCTGGATTTGCTGCTTACGTTATGACCTTACGGACTCTATTGTGATTGGTCAATTTGCTTACTGCTTACTGTTTTTATGTGCCATGGCCCTAAGTTACATTTTCGTGCTTAAGCCCTATTATGGAAAGAGGAATAATTCACGAAGATGTGTTCGACGATTGCTAAGTTTGTTACCACGGTATCAAGATTCAAAAAAGTCACCACGAATTAATCCCAGACGGCACAGAATATTTATGATAAATATTTATTAATATTCATTTTTTAAAATGTTATATAGATATTTCATACATATTTTATATAAAGCTTTATTCGAAATATTATTAAAATATAGACTAAACATTTTATGTAATATTTATGATAAATATAAATAAATATTTCTAATAAGTATTTTTTACTTGGATTATTACTTAGGTAGCAAACTATTACTTCTTGATATCCAACGCGCGTCTCTCGAGATGGGTATCGTGGTAAATTTTGCGGTATCTATCTCAACAGATGCATCTTGGATGGCGGGAAGTAATATCGTTGCACACTGCCAGAAAATGTTCACACATATTGAATTTGTGAGACAACCGCAAAGTCATCTTTTCGAGTAATAATAATGAAAAAACAATTATATTGTCGACATCAATTTTTTGTCATATAAAAATGCCTGAGCATTTTGAATCAAAATAAAGTTATATTGATTTTTTGACATAATGTATTCCTTGGGTTGGGTAGTATTATTTGTCATCATTTTGACAAAATGATATTAATAACAACATTTTGACGTTAGTAACATCAAATAATGTCAACTTGCCACCTGGGTATCACAGTAACGTATATTAGAAGAAAACAAATTCTGAAATGTTAATTAGATTTTATTAAATACTGAAGCTACAGCACATACCTCCAAGGGACATTTTAAAGTTCAGACGATGTCCCTAAGGATGTTCCTAGGATGTCCCTTGAATAAAGTATGCTGTGTGAGAAAAGACACTGCACCAAAAGATTTTTATCATTGGTAAACTAAAAACTCTTCTATTGTCTATCTAAGAGAATTTATTCATGGAAAAATATGCGGTCATCGTTGACGTATTCAAAGAGCAGTAAAGCTTGTATTAAAGTTAAAGATGCATGGCTATTTTGAATGCTAATTATTACTTTGGCTTTAGTAAGATACAATTAATACTCGATATTTTGACAAACGAAGGATGAATCTCGGACGAGAATCAGAAGGGAACCGAAAGCTCTGGGGCCAATCTGGCACTCTCTCGAAAAGGGAAGAGAGAGAGAGAGAGAGAGAGGGGAGGGGCGCTAGAAGGGGGGCGAAAGGGTTGACCTCAGCCTGTGAGCCAGAGCGCGGGCCAGAGGCTTTGCGGGTGGTTTTAGATTAAAATTAATCGCGAGCTGATGAAACCGGTGGCGATGTACCACCACCGAGGGAGGCAGGAGAAGGGTTGAATTCAGGACTGGTCATAGGGGCGGCGGAACACGACGGCCGGTGTGGCAGTGGCGGCAGGGTGGGCTCGGCTCTACAGAAAAGAGGATGGCTTCCACTCTCGTCCACTCTCAGACGAGGAGAAACGAGCATTCTGCCGCCGCGTTGCTTTTCCTCCCTTTTCTGTGCCCGTGCGCTCTCTCTCTCTCTCTCTCTCTCTCTCTCTCTCCCTCTCTCTCTCTCTTTCTCTTGCTTTTTCTCCTCTCTTCTGCCTCGCTGATCCTCGAATTCCGGCATAGTGCTCCGTTAATAATGCAAGCTCTATTTTCCACCCACCTGACGAGCGGCGAAACCTGACGAGAGTTCGCCTTGTCCTTTCCCGAGCATACGGGAAAATACTCGTTTTGCGTATTCCATCTCGTCGCATGCCCAGAGTACGCTTCCTTTTTTTTCTTCCCGTCGAAATATTTACCGCGACACGTGAATCAAAGATTAGATCTGAATTCGAATGGGAGCTACGCTTGGACGAATTTTCCGCGTACGCGCAATATGAGAGCGTGAGTGACTCTGGGCAGAATAGACCGTGGCGATCTCTGTAATCCACGTAATCCTCTGCTCGTATTAATTAGTGGAACAGTGAAACCAATCGGTATCCATTAACCGGTTATTACTATTCCGCTCTCGACGTATCGCTCTCCGAGTTAATTGTTTGTCCCCTCTAAACGAGATGATCTCGATTATCTCATAGCTTTTCTAAATATTTCTCTACCGATACCGCCGTTTGGAAATTTATGAAGTTGGAAATTTTGTGTTAAATTTAACACATTTAACGTATCTCAAACGGTCTATTCAAATTTTTATGTTAATTTAATACAAGATGAATATATTAGAAAGTAACACAATTATTATATTAAAATTCACATAAAAAAATGTAACAATAACACAATATGTAAATTGTGAAAACATAATTTCTTCAGTAAAATTAACACATTTTATTCATTTATCTTAAGATTTAACGTTTTAAAATTAATAAACATTATTTTTATATTAATTACTCATAAATTATTAATTTTAATATTAAGGATGTTGAATATCAATTTAACACAAAATATTTGAATAAGACTATTACATCACGTTAAATCAACACTCAGATATGTTATAAATTTAGCATAAAAATTTTAACAAAGATCGACTTTGAAACAAATATAAAATATTTTTGACTATGCAACGAATTTTTGCAATACATTTTTACGCGAATAAATAAAGCGTACGCCACGCTTCGATTAATTTATTTAATGCATTTCTATTTAAAAATAAAGAATACTGAAATACTCAATTGTTTTGGCGGATAAAACGCAAGACGGTTTTTCCATTTGGAAAATAAATTGAGTGATCGTAAGTAGATTGCGGGATATCGATACTGGCGATAGGGAATGTATCCTATTATTAACCTAAACTACGTGTAAATAATTAAAACGGCTTAATGGTAGGGAGAATTACGCGAAGAGAAGCACGAGCATAATCCCAGGTGACTTGGTAGTAGGCGGGTAACATCGCGTATACAGTGTCGAGCCATGGATATATAGCGTAACCGAGTTCCTAAAGGATTCGGTTCGCGATTGTATGTGTGCGTGAATAAAGGAAGACTAATCGGTCTGATTACAAAGCATGAGCTTGCAACCCCTCACCGACTGTACCTTTTATAGATGGGACGAGTGGCGGCGATGGGTGGTGATGCGTATTTTCGCTTTTGGTTTACAATCTATTAGATCATGAATGTTTCAATAGAAAAATCATAATTATTGTCGCTGAAATATTAATGATTTGTCCTGTATATTCCGCGCATTTTCTCGTGATTGAAATTATAACTTAATAAAACGACTGTAACTTTCGAATGAATATTCATGTACACAGAAAGAACGATTTTACAGAAATATTTCAAAATAGCTAAATACAAATTTGAAAATAATTTTGGACCATTAAATTAATTATGCAGAACGCTTAAACTAGTTGCTAGAATATCAGAATTTTTACAGTATTACCAAGATATTTAAACAGAATCAGTATATTTAAGCATCTTACATAATTATTTTGAAGAGTCAATAAAATTATTTTCAAAGAATCTGGTTAAATTTTTTAAATACTTTAGCAAAATATTTCTTTCCGTATAGGATTTATTTGTATTAGCGATCATTAAAAAATTGAAAAATTGAAAAATTTATATTAAATTTATATAAACCTAATTTTTTGTTTAATACAAAATAAATATATTAGAAAATAATACAAACATTATGTAAAAAATTAACATAAAAAGTGTAACACCAACATGACTTGTAATGTATGGAATGTAATATGTGAAAGCATATATTTCTTCTGTAAGATCAATTATCTAAATATGTTGAGTACCCTACTATTATTAATACATTTTATTCATTTATCTTAGAATGTACGTTTCAAAAGACATTATTTTTACGTTGGTTTATTACTTACTTATAAATTGTATTATTTTAACACTAGGAAATGTTGAAAAATTTTAACAAGGATCGATTTTAACACAAATATAAAATACTTTTTACTGTGTACAATAATCAATGACAAAAGCTCTGTTATTGAAAATTTGTGAATTCTTAGTTTAACGGAATAAGAAAAGAATTTTTTAAGAGTTCAAGCTAGGATGTAATTACTAAAGACACTGTTAATCTTGTATAGAAAATCTTCTCTGCACTGTACGGGTCACGAGAGAAAAACAGCTTTCGACTTACGTTTTCCTTTGGGATCTCTAGCACTTGGCGCTCTTTTCTTTCTTTCGGTAACTTTTACTGGAATCTACAAGACGCTTGCCATAGCTTTTTGACTTAAAAGCATCGTTTAATTATTCAATTACGCATGCTCAGTCACGCGTGAGTTCAGTGCATTAGTCGTGAGCCTCGTAACGATCACAAGCAATGTTGGTTCTCATACAAAAGTAAATTGTTACTTTAGTAAATATTTCATAAAATAGACATGTAAAAAAAATGCAGTTTATAATAAATAGAAAACAAATTCCTTCAACGACATTTCCTATATTTTTCGTTGATTTCGTTGTGGTTTTCTTGAATTTTGGTTAGTGCAATTTTAACGATTGTAAAGAATAGACACGAGGAACAATTAACAACAGCGTGGAACGATCATTATCGAGCTGTACCGTAGTTATGGGGTCCTCAAAGAGCTAATCGGAAGTCGAATCGATTAATGGACAGCGGTACCCTCCTTGTACTGTCCGATTATTTATGGACTCTATGGGGTAGAATAGCGCCACGTGGATCTCTTTATGCTGGGATTTGTCACGGCGATGGATTTTCGTACAGAGATAAAAGTCAGCGAACCGCGCTGACTTTTCTTTTTCTCGATATTCGATACTGACTAAACGTGTGTCATTGCACGAATCTCTCTTACCGTTCTCCTGTGATGCTGCAGATGATATGTTCGTTATGGGAAGTGGCTCTACGTAGCTTCGATCCGTCGGTTCTTCCTTCACGGCAACGTCCTTCGAACTCTTACTAGCCGGTCCGTTTATCTTTCGATTCCTACGAGCAAGTAACACGCAAGATTTCACTTTACATTATTTCGCAAATTCGCGTTTGACGGACCGCAGGATATTTCTTTCTTACGTCTGATTTATACGATGCTTTTTTACTAGTAACTAGCGTGTTAGTCTTCTAATGAACTAGAAAACTAGCTAGAAAAATATAATTCTATAAATTATTATTCTTATTATTGTTTATACACGCGCGCTGAGAAAATGCATAACTCTCTATATATACCAATTATTGCGAAGAATGATGCTAAGGTCTCGGTAGTCTAAAGGCTTAGGACGCTCTCACGGAATGCAAGAGATCCGGGTTCGACTCCCGGCCGAGGCATTATTTTTCGCAATAAGTTTTATTACAGTTTTTAAGTTGGGGAATTTGGAAGGATTATTAATATTAATATTTTCAGATTTGATTGCGTTGAAAGTCCGACAACCATATCGGCACGCAATTATCATTTCCGAAAATTAATTCATTTAAATGAATTTACAATAGTTCAACATCTTAACGTTCTGACCGTTATGGCGCTTCTTAATTTAAAATTATTATGTTTAACATTAGCGGTCTTTCAATCTTATTACTGTCTATAAATTATATTTTTAGCTGCTAATTTTCTAAAACAATATACAAAGTATTTAATACTAAAGTACTCTAAAAGATTTATAAATGAAAAGCGCGACAAAATAAAATTAAAATTACAGCATTTAAGATAACAAAGATTTAAAAAAAGATAACAAACATTAGATCAATTTTTTACTTAACCTTCCGCCAGCGGACGCAGGGTCTCGCGAGACCCGCGAGTTAGAGTTGTTTACTCTTTTCAACTGTGAAGAAAATAAATAAATGGATATTCGTTTCTATGATAAATATGTGTTTTTATTTCTCTTTCTACATATTTTATACATATTGTAATAAAAAATTATTTTTCAAACGTTTTAAAACAATTCCATTCTTGGGTCACTTTTGACCCTGCGTTCGCCGTGCGTGCGAGTATTACGACGTCCGCTGTTCGAGGGTTAATATAATATATAAAATGATACTTTTTAGCAGTTAGTTTTCTAATTCGCTTAAAATTAGCTAAAACTAGCATGCTTAATAGTATTAATAAAAAAGTATAATATAAATTAGGCCTTATTCGCGAGGGGAGCAACTTAAGTGTATATAATTACGTTGCAAGTATCTTATAAGTCGCGTCATTTTATTATTGCAAAAAAAGGGAACAAGTTTTATCTCGAACTTACCCAAAGCAACGGTCCGAGTTGATTTCGAGGAAATCGCTGTTTTGACCGTGCGTGACTGGTACCGGGGTAGACTGATACTGAGGATGGTAATTACCATTGTCACCGTTTCTTGTGCAATTGCTTGACTCTTGCTTCACGCTCGCACCTATAACGCAAGCGAAAAAATTGTATGAAACAATTATCGTGATCCTCTCGCCACGTACAATCTCCTTTTTATCGCGATGTTAATGTCACGAGAATAACTTTTACAGTCTCACAGGCCCTCCCTGCGCTGAATATCATTACTGTTTACTGAGTGCGTAGCGCACGATCGTTTTCTTCGGACGATTCATAGCTAAAAGAACCGACGGGGCGTCAGGACATAACGGCGCGTGTCGTACCGGAAGTAAAGACGCATCGCTGTAACGACACGTGAGAGGGAAGGTGGGGTCTAATGGGGTGCCGACGATTTTCGCGAGGGTGAGGGCTATGCCCCCAATAAATCAAACAGGCTCCCGGGGTCGTGGGAAGCATAAGTCACAAGCCTCCGGCAATAATTGTATTTGTAAACATTGGAAGTTTACTGTTAGGAAGAAGCGCGTCGGCGCGCCAGGGTAGATTGAATTATCTCACCGTCGTATCGTTCATGAGATCTTGTAATAATTATTTTCCATAGCGGGACTTCAATGGAACTCTGCTATATATCTCATAAAAAAACGAAATGTTGAGATACATGCTCGTACGATTTTAGCATTAAATAATTGAAGAGTTTCCTACAAGAACCAAAGTCCATTTTTTTAAATCTGGATTATGGCGCCACTTGCAAAGCACATTTTTGTTATATAAAATTTTGTAAATAAAAGAAGAAAAAATTATTTCACTATAAATAATTTTCTTCTTCATTTTTAACATTATTATTAATAATATTAAGTGAAATAAAGAAGCATTTAAAACAAATAAGAGAGAAATAAGCCTTTTTCGATCAAAGTAGGTCTTATTGATAGTGATATTCATGTGTGAATACACAAATACAATTATTAGTTCTATAGACTGTACGCCGATAAGGTTTGTCGGAACGCAATTATAAACTGAAATAATAATCTTACAATTAAATTAACTGATCATCAATTTAATAATAATATTATTTACAGCATCTTAAAAACCTGTAAATAACTTATTATAAAAATTATTTCAACCGGAATTCGTATCCGAATCTCCTAAATTCCGTGCGGGCGACTTCCCAATTTGACCACCACTGCACCGTTATGATGATATTAATCACAATAATTGAATAATATTAATTTCAATAACTGGTTTTTTTCAAGAGAATCCAGAAATATTTCATTTATTTATTTTTTTTAAATATCTTTAGAATATTAAAACCTAAAATTTTGTTCTTACATCTATCATATGTCTAGATAGAAATTATCATATTTGTATAATGAACCCTTTGAAAATGAGATACTTTTTGTTTCCTGAAAATTTAACTTTTCTAAATTTGTTTGTGTGATTCGAAACCGGTTTGAAAAGACGAAATCGTAAAATGAAATTGGAACATTAATATTTCTAATACTTCTTATTATGTTTCCAACATTATTCATTAATTGAATCTAAGTAACATAAGAAATTTAAGAGTATCACTGTTCAAAGATGTCGATGTTCCGTCTCGTGATGTTTTACATAAGGACCTACGGCTGCAAGTACATACGAGCATGTATCTCTTCCTAAATGCGTCGCAAGCTACATATAATATTACGCGAAAGATACGCAGCCTGGGAATTGCGTGCGCGTTCGCTCGCATGTGTGCATGTTGGTGTGCATATAGACATTAGCTAGCCCCCGATTCCCTCTGGGTGTTTGCCCGCCCGGTTGAAATGTTCGACGATACGTTTGTTCAACGCTGCTCGACGCTGAATTACACGTATCGTGCGTCGCGAATTTTGCGCCCCGGAATAATGTAAACTGCGGCCCGTGCGCTTCACATGGAACTTCGAAAGAGGTCGAACGTTGGGAATGTACGGCGCACACGTTCCACTGTCTGCCTCGCTTATCATAATGATTTGCAGAAGAGGCGCGGCGTATCGATAGCGACGTTAATAAGCGACATCGATGGGGAAGAAGAAAGAGAGAAAGAGAGCGAGAGCGAGAGCGAGAGCGAGAGCGAGAGCGAGAGAGAGAGAGAGAGAGAGAGAGAGAGAGAGAGAGAGAGAAATAGGGGAGAGATGAGAGGGAGGAAAAAAGAGAAAAAGACGGAACGAATCGCCGCTGGCTTAATATAAAGTGCTTACTCGCGTAATCCGATATCGATGATCGCCGAGGTGCCCCGTGTTGATTCTTTCCGCTCTCTGCGCTACGCTAAAAAGAACTGTGCCCCGCGGGCGTCTTCTCGCCGGTTTTTAATAAAGGACTGATATTGCATCTCGCCGCGTCTAGCTGCGAGGCCGTCGCGATTTTAACAGTCGCGATTTACGTAGCGGGAAAAAAATTGAACGGTTCCCGCTGTTCGTCCGCTGTCCGCGGACGGGTGCAAAAAGACCGTCGTCGAGCGGGAAAACCGCAAACGCGCGCGCGCGGAAAGTGTCGACGGTTAATTAAACATGCACGTGCGGTGTGTAGCGTGTCGCTAATTGATTCGCCAATTACGCAACAGTTACACGTTAAATTGAGCGAGCGAACGGGTCGTGTTCGATGAATTAATAAGATCATTTCTGATTATTCACGAAAGGCCTCTCTCTCTCTCTCTCTCTCTCTGTTCCATTTCTACTGTTCGATTCGGGGGTCTCTTGATTTTTTAAAGCAGTTTGCCAGGACGTCGGTCGAGGAGACGCGATTTGGGACATGTGTCTTCGACACGGAAAAAAAGTCTGGTAATAGTTACCACCATATATTTTGTTACTTTTGTTTATCGTATTAGTGCAGCAATATTTAATAAACACTACGAAGTATAATAATAATAACCAATCGTTTGATAATCATTAGAAAAAAATGTATAAAGACAGATGTCATATAACCTCAAGGAAAAGTTGAAGGCGCAAATTCCACTAGCTGGTAGAAGCAACACTAAAAACCTCTCAATAATTAAAAAAGTAAGATAACATTTAGAAAAAAGGTAAAGCGTCTATATAATTGCATTTCATATTAATCGAATATCTGATTGAAATTATTTCTTCAAGTTTTATTATAGTAATACAACCACCAATAATACTACTATCCAGCTTGATTATTATTATCTTTTTTAATACATGATCTTTTTTAATACGGTGTCTTTTCGAAAAGGTTTTAGACTAGAGATCTTCAAATTAAAAGTTGGACACAATTGTTTTGATTTACCATATTTTTCAGGACTTACTTAAGATAGAATGAGATAAATAAATATGCATCAGTTTCATTCTATCTTAATTCTCCAAAGCTGACGTCAGTTCCGCAGGGTTCAGCA